GATTTCAATGTAAATACTAGTTCATTATCATCCTCCTCAGGTGACAGTATTATTGATGTTAATAGTTCAATGCATATTGTTTCCACTCCGTTGAAACAGTTTAATTCTATTGATAACAATAATAATAATTATACTAAAGAGAAAGTTATTTCAGATGATTTGAAACGTATTCGTTTAAATTATACCGATGGAACTGAACTTGTTGATTGGGTAATAATAATTTTTTTCCTCTTATTTTTATATTTTCTTAAATTTCTTATTATATTTGAATAAATGCAGTTGCTAGCTTGTCGATTTGGTTATATGAAACTTCACTGAATGGTAACTGGCCACATGTGGTTTTATCAGTCCGTCAGTTAGTCAATCACAACATGGAACCGGGTACGTATGTACATCGGTTCAAGTTGCCATACCTCACTAGCAAAGAGAGCTGAGACTGTCAGGTCAAATCACAAAATTGTAGAGTTGGTAATAGTATGAATGGCAATAAGAAAGAACAGGAATCGAAGATCTGACTCAGAGAAATATAAATTAGTGAAACAAAAACAGATAAAAAGAAGTTATGGGGAATTCTGAGTTATGATAAAGAATGGATTCAGCTGCACCATTGCAAATGATTTTGAGCCATGTCATTCAACGTCTCTAACCACTGGTTACGATAATCATATAAACCCCAACCAGGTAGTCTACGCCTACTAATTAACGTGGCTCAGTTCACTTGTCAGTTACTTTATGAAGTGATCCCATGTTTTGATTTGGCCACCCCTAACTTTCTTCCGGCCTACTACACCAGGCATCTTTGCCCGTCGTAGTATGAGGTGTTCGGCGATATGTATCACAAGGCCCAAATACCTCAATTGATGAAAATTTAATACCCCATTAGTCGATTTGCCATCCTCACCTATTACTCTGTTCCTAACCGAGACATGGCTCATTCAGTGGTTCCAAAACATATGAGACACCTGTGATTGAATACTATTAACCTACAAATATCCTCTATTCCTAATGACCACGTCTTACATCCATAAAGTAGAACATAGTGAACTGCTACACAGTATACTCATCCTTTAGTTGGCGGACGGATATATCGCGTGCGTAACAACAGGTAATGCAAGTTGGCAAAAGTCAATCTAGCCTTCTGAATTCACGTAGAGATTTCGTCAGACACCAGAGAATCAGAACTGATGAGACTCCTAATATAGATGAAGTATTTGATACGTTCAACTACTTCACTCTTCATCATTAATTTAGAAGCTTACGCAAGCAAATCCTGAAGCATTTGGATAGATTTAATCCTATCCTAAACATGCTTGCGTTGTCTCATTTTTAATATCATTCAATGTTAATTCCGAGTCATGACCTAAGGACGGAGCCAGGAATAGCACTTTTAATTTATGTAAGTCTACATGATTGTGGACTGTAAATCTTTATTGGTGAGTTTGATTGGTCTTCAGTTAGAGATTTATGTTTAAATCATCCACATTCCCTATTTGCAACTTTAATGTTGTTCGTTAGGAAATTACTTGTTTCATACATTATCATCTTCAAACAAGTGTATCATTTATTAGACTTGGAATAATCATTAGCGAACTATTTACTGATTGGTCTACATGTTTCATCAAATATGTTTTATCATGTGCGTTTTGTGATAGAATGACGTTTCAATATTTATTCTTATTCTACTAAACTGATCTTTGTGGATAACAGACTAAGTTTTCAGGGATTTTCTTGGGCAACAAAATCATCTTTAAACAAGTTTTCATACTACTTAAACCATTTGTCAAATTTCCGTTTGTTCGATGACCATAGATTAATTTACCTACACTGCAATATTAGAAACAATAACCGAGAACGTCGTTCATTGTGACTTTTTTGAGTTCATCAACTTTTGCATTAACTTAAGTTGTTGCTCCAATAGTATTTCCGCTTTTGCAGGTTCCATTTTCACTAATATCTGTCTCTACAAGGTATACTTTGCGCTAACAGTGATACTTCCTAACTGCCCCTTGATATTAGGATACTACAGCTTCTAATCCTTTTTAACCTTAACTACAACAAAACATAGTCTTGCAAAGAAATTTTATGTGTAGTATTTAAGGAAGATTATTCATTAATCAAATTCATTCATTTATATATGCAGATTATCATATGGAATTGATACAAATGAATATTATACTGAACACGAGTTAGACTGAATTAACACAAAAATCAAATGAACTAAATTCACATGTAGTTAACACATTTGATTTATTACTAATAATTTATATATTTTAATATCCCCAACAATTTTACTGTTAGACAGTTGGTGAAGTTGTAACTATTTTTTGTCTCGCCCTTGTTTAGTATTTATTCACCAGTAAGATGTATTTGTCATTTAGAAAGTGATTGTTTACTTCACAATATCTTCATCAAATCGAAGAATTTCTAATCAATACTTTTTATTTTTAGCCTGTGCTAATATGGCTTCTTCTTGGCGGAGTTTGCTTCTGAACTCCTTTGTTATTATTATTTATTTATTACTGTGACGGCATATGTTTGATATTAGCCGCGTCTATAAGATGAATGTGTTCTGTACAAGTTGTAAACGACTTCAAAGACTCTGTTTTCGATAATTTTTGGTTCTGAGGAATCGCCAACACTTGTTGGTAACACAGTAGAATTAGTGCACAGTTTCTACATAGTATATCTTGGGATAATGAGGGTGATAATTTAAAAATCTGTTGTAATCTTGCTGGGTAACCATTGAAATGTGTGGTCATTTTCTTCCATGGTGATGGCGATTTGGTTTAAATAGAGGAATGGCTTGGTGATTTATTTTATTCTAGGTCAATCTGTTAGTTTGCCTATTCATCTTAGTATACCAGACTTCTTGTGAAGTGCTACTAATTTTGTTTCTCATCACATTTCTACTTAGGTAATCGTGACAACTCCCATTGATCGAATCCGTTTATACTTTGTGCCCAAATCTTTGGTATCAAACGACATGTCAAACCACTCTGTCCAATATTCAAAACAAACATACCTATCAATCTATTTACCCCTTTATCTTCGGTCCTTTTTGATTGATGAACACTATTTACTCAAAAATGAACCATACACTCTAGATGTAAATCGCTCAGTGGACAAGAATATTGGTCAATACTCACCAAACGCTCGCCTAATTACTATCACATTAGTTTATTCGTCAAGTTGGTGGAGACAATATACTACTGAACGTTTTGTGAATTCTGATTTAAGCCATACAGTTTCATCTCATGGAAATAGCTTCAGTGAATTATTCTCATTCCTTCCAGATAGTCGGGAAAACCGAGGATTTTGTCATGTGTTTCGTGATCTACGTCCGGATGTAAGAGCTTTTTAAATGTTTCATTGTAGTCTACCAGCTTGAAATGGGTTCTCTATGATCATATAACATTATTATTAAGTCAATCTCAATAATTTGTTAATGCCAACAGCGTACCTTCTTGTTTCGTTAGTACATGTAGTTTGACTTCTAATCGAACTTCATGGAATGATTGAAAATTGATATTTCGAAGTAGCTACAAAATGCTTGCTTAGTTTTCCTGACAGATGAGATATCTGGATGTCCTATAAAGAATAACTATATTGCACTTCTCGGTTGCTATTAGATTATTTCATGAAGTTTTTGGATATTAATGTGATCCATTTCGATTGGCTAGGGGTGGATTCCATACGATACTCGTTATCAGTGGTTAGAGACGTCGGGTAACATGACTTAAAGTTGGTTACAAATGCGCTGACGCATTCATTCTTTATTTTTCTCTCTATTTTGGACTTCCTTCATCCTGTTGTTTCAAACTACATTCTCAATACTGAATCCTTCTCATTATCATTGGTACTGCGTTAGTTCGATCTCTTTTTCTATTTATCTTGTTGATTTCATCTCGTGCTAAAATGGAATGAAGATTTAGTCTAACACACATTTGTGTCAGGCTTTACGTCTATTATGACTGATTGGTACTGCGTTTATTTTTGTGTTAATTTGTGGCTGTAAAATATCCTTAAAAATAAGTCTATACAAGCATCATAGATATTTGAATTTTATTCAATAAAATCAAATAAGAAATATTTAAGCAAAGTGTAAAATGTTCGGTAAAGTACACCAATAATTTCATAGGTTTGACCACTTTTATGAATTAGGGTGGAAATATCTAATCTACTTCATGGTTTAATACCTCATCCCTCTCCAGGTACTCACCATAATCTCATATGGCTATACTGGTTTTAGAGTCGAACCTTGTAGAGATGTTGGTTTTTCCCACCCAGTAAGTACGCTACTTGTGGAATTTTCTAGAATATACTACCACTTTAAATGCTTTAAGGTGCATTTGTTAGTTTATCTGGTTCTATAGAGCAGGTTGTATAAGCTGTACAATCATGCACTTGTCAAACGAATATATAAGCACCACTCTTGCTTAGGACGTCAACCTAGTGGCCCCCATCGTTAAGTGTCCATTGTGAGACTTGAAGGTCATTAGTCTGATTCTTGGTTGGACCGTGGGTCTTCGCTCCTGAAGAACCTCAGACCATCATGAAATAATTATCTATAATCCTCGGATTTTCAGTGTTGCTTCGACTGAGATCAATCTGTGACAAAATATGTCCTAATAAATTCATTCCTAATTTTTATTCCTACTGTTATATGATGGCATAATTTAACTTTATTTGACTCCATCACTCATGAATAGAAATAATCAAGGAATTATAGATACTATCGGCTTATCACGTTAGTGCAACGTAGAAATAAAAAGTCGGGCACGAATTGTGTTTAGGATACACATATTTCACACATTCATTCTATCAGTCATACTGAACAAGTGAATGTGAAAATCAGTGTTCCAGTTAAAATCCTTGAATAGATAGTTGATTTTCATTTGATAAAATAATGTACAAAATATAGATACCCAATTAGATTGTGAACAACAGACATACACATAAACAATGGATACACGAAAAAAGTACATGAATATCGTTGAAAAAGTCACAGATAGCTGGGGTATACATAGAAGATTATATCAAGGGTACACATGTGCTCCAGTATCCTGAAGGAACAAATGGCGTATGAACCAATTGTTGGTCACCAGCTGCCATGGGACTGCATTTGCTCACGATGTTCCACTGCCTTGTGGATCAAACCTTAAGGTCAAAGGCTCCGGGTGTGGCCCCCTAGGAGAACCACCTGCTTCGGTTTGGGCACCCAGGCAGTATCACAGCCCACACACAAACAGAATGAAATGACGATACTTACGGAAAATACTATGCTTGCTTCGATTAACAGTCAAACGATTCATATTATTACTATTATTATTATTATTATTATTATTATTATTATTATTATTATTATTATTATTTACTTCGTCAATTATTCGCTCTCTTTTATTCCCACTTTATGTATCCTTATTTTTCGACGGCGAGACTAATTTATGGACGAGCCAATCAGAAGCGTTTTAGAGATTTCAAGGTTACTGCGCCAACTTCAGTGCTTAATGCTAACGTACGATCGGTTCACAGGGAATTTTGAACAAAACGTGATAATTGAGCGGCTATAACAAATGAAACAGCGAGACTATAGTTTGTGGATGAATCAATCAGGTATATGACATCAGATCTCGGATTTTAACGCGAAAGCCTTCCATTCATTTGGCTAAATAGATTTCTGGCATTATATCTGATGTCAGTTAGTGATGAAAACCTCATATATAATTCATAACTAAGGCAAATTATGACAATTATCGAGAACTGGATAATAAAAGCACCAGTAACACTGGCTGCAGCCAGGTACTACAATATATACGGATGTTTGGAGAGAATACAGACCCCTACATAGGCTTGGTTATGTGCATCGTGTCGTTATCCACAAGTGACATTTTGTATACTCAACAATCGGAGTGCATATAAACTATATTGAAGCTATGTGGTCGAGGTTGAAAGAGTTTATGAGACTTTATCATGGCTGCAGAGGTCAACTATTCTGTAGCCATATGGATGATTTTCTCTACTGCATGCATTACGATTTTAGAACCTCTGAACCTCTTTATAACCTTAACAAGTTTTTTAACCACGTATAAGAAGTGTATCCATTTTATTTCCTTGGTTTTGTATAGTATATTTTTACTTTATACTTACTGTTTGCTGATTGACTAATATTTGTCAAGGTCACTTACGATTCGTTAAAAGGTCGTCCATAAATTCGAGTCTCGCCTTTTCGACTTATAAAGCAGCTCACCTATGGTAGAAACTCCGTTCTATCTAAACGTTCTCGAGTCACTGCCTGGTTTAAAATTGTATGCTACCACCGAATACGAGTACTGAAGCAGTTTTTCTAAAACCACGTGAACCATACAAACTGGCTGCCTTCAACGTTCGCACATTTATGCAGGTTGAACAAATGATAGGGCTGGCTATGTCTTTAGAAAGTCTTAATATCGATGTTTGTTGTCTATCAGAGACCCCCATTCAAGACTGTAGCGAAGTACTACAAATCCCCTCTCCATCTGTCGCTTCAAAAAGCTTGTTTTACGTGCTTTTTTCCGGGGATCCTGTGGTATCTTCATCTGGTCTTGCTGGCGTTGGTGTCGCACTAAGCGCTAGAGCTGAGGTAGCACTAATCGATTGAATCCCCATTAACAATTGGTTATGTGCTGTTAGATTAGAAAGTTCCATCAAAGTGAGAAGAAATCGGCATGAGAAACGATGTATTTTCGTCACCTCCGCTTATGCCCTGACAGATTGCAGCCCGGATGCCATCAAGGATGAATTCTACCAGCAGTTAACTGTTCTTCTCCGGAAAGTGCGTTCGACGGATATTGTAGTACTAGACGGAGACTTGAATGCTCAGCTCGGGCGTCTAGGCACAGAAGAGAATCGATCAGGCGGCCGATGGAGACTTGTTGGTCACCGATCAGATAACAGGGACCGTCTACTGCAACTGTGCGCAGACCACAAACTTGTACTAACTACTGGCACCTTCTCTCTGCATCTCAAGCCTGCACTCATATTGATCACATCGCGATCAGCTACCGCTGGCGTGGTTGTGTACAAGACTGCTGCTCCTTTTGGACTACCAGTCAGAACTCTGATAATGCTCTTATTTGCTCTAATCTTACTTTACGGACCGATGCCAGTAAATTGGTTGCATCTAAATGTCAAACCGAGCTAGGTTCAAGGCTATCTACCATTCCACCGAAAAGTATAGATGAGCATTGGTTGCAACTTCATGACGCCATCAAAATGGCGAGTAAAGCCGCTTGCGGCTTCGCGAAACGTTCCGCTTATAAGCACCGAGTTTCTTCAGGCTCCGTACAACCCATCGAAGCCCATCGGTCTACTCCGCGTAACCGTGAGTTTTACCACAAACGACGACTGTTATGTTATGAAATCAGGCAAAGCCTGCGCAAGGATGTAGAAGCCTGGTTGTCGGAGCGTGCTAATGAGCTGGAAATAGCAGTTGCATCTGGTAACTACCGGAAGCTCTTCCAACTCATATGAGCCACTGACAACAAGAAGTCTGGTGTGAGCGGAAAAATCTGTAAGGATGACGGAATGCCATTCGCTGTTCTGCCCTCTAGGACCGGTGACGACTGATCCATCAAATGAGGCAGAAGAACACAAGGGACTCCAACTCTTGAAACGCTACAAATCACCTAGAACAGATGACTTACCTCCGGCGCATTTCAAAGTTGGTGGTGACTTTCTGACTGAGGAACTGACGATGTTGTTTACAAAGGTTTGGGAACTAGAGAGTGTACCAACGTCATGGAATGAGTCGATGGTTGTCCCTATCTTTAAAAAGGTTTCACGTCGTCTCTGTAACAAATATCAGAGGATAAGTCTACTTCCGATTGCGTCCGAACTATTGGCTTCCGTCATACTTCGTAGGTTCTTCAAAACCCGAGAAAGATTGACTCGCGAGGAGCAGGTCGGTTTCCGTTCTGGTCGAGGATGTATTGATCACTTATTCACCCTCCACCAAACGTTAGAACACCGTCATACTTATCAAAGGCCAACAATCATAGTGTTTCTTGACATCAGGGCTGCCTTCGACTCGTTAGACAGGACTGTTCTCTGGGATTGTCTATTGACGAAGGGTGTGCCTGAGAAGTTTATTAACATCCTAAAGGCCCTATATACAAACACTTCAGGTAGAGTGAGGGTATACAACCACCTTTCTCCATTGTTCCATTCGAGAAGTGGGGTTAGACAGGGTTGCCCAATCTCACCATTCCTCTTCAACTTTGCCATCGATGACATTCTGGAAACAGCCCTGATGAATGTAAGTAATGACAGTGTGGATCTGTTGCCTGGAGAAAGACTTCTCGACCTTGAGTATGCGGATGATATTGTCTTACTGAGCGATAATGCCCAAGCCATGCAATCCGCACTTAATCAGTTGGCAATTAGTGTCCGTAGTTATGGTATGTGCTTTGCACATTCGAAGTGCAAAGTACTTTTACAAGACTGGCAGGATTCTAATCCTGTATTCACCCTGGATGGCGAGCAGATAGAAGTAGTCGAGAAGTTCGTGTATCTGGGTAGCTGCATAAGTGTTGGTGGGGGTGTGAGTGATGAGATCAATGCACGCATAGTGAAAGCCGGAGCGGCTTATGCTAATCTTGGCCATCTTTTGCATCTTCGTGATGTTAGTCTGGCTGTAAAAGATCGGATCTACAACGCATCGGTGAGAGCAGTTTTGCTCTGTGCTTGTGAAACCGTGCCTTTCCGAGTTGAGGATGTTAGACGACTCTCTGTGTTTGATCATCGCTGTCTCCGAAGGGTTGCTGACATTCCATGGCAACATCATGTTAGTAATGCAGAGGTTCGGCATCGTGTGTTCGGGCCGAGTGACGATAATCCGATTGGTGTCACCATTTTGAAACACCGACTTCGGTGGCTTGGACATGTTCTACTAATGTCGTCCCAGAGAATTTCACGTCGTGCATTATTTTCCGACTCTGGGACTGGTTGTAAAAAGCGGAGAGGTGGTCAGTGTATAACATAGTGTCGTGGTATGACCGAAAGCTGCAAAGGGCTGGCTTGTGTTGGTCCTTCACGATTCGCTGTTTGGGGTCCGAGAGATGGTGCAACACGGTGGCTATAGACGTTATCAGCCAGTGGCGATCCTGCTGTAACCTTCTTTTACTTTCTTCATAAAAAGTGGTTATTTCTTCCTTAACTGAAAGAATTTCCGTTTCTCCCATTATTAATAATTTTATTATTACTGCGCTACCTTACACTAATCTGGTCGTTATTGTTCTTCCTTTTTTGTCTTTTACGCTCCTTACCTTCTTTTTTTCTCTTCCCATTCTCATTGTTTTGTGTGGCGCATATATTTCTGACCCCCCTTGTATCAATATTTATGTGTTTAAATAAATAAATGAATAAATAATAGATGGTTATATACTATCTTAATTACGAATCTGCTTGAATGTCTTATTTATTTTCTTAAAGATTAACTCTCCAGGGATTTTACAAACTCAATTGTTCGCAGCTTCAGCAGATCACTGGTGGGATAAAACAGATGTAATTTTACAGACTGCTGTGGATCGATATTTGAAGACCCATTTCATGATATCATCGTCAACGGAAGAATCTCAATTTTCTGATAGATTTCATTTATTATCTTCATATGTCGCTCGTTTACAAGCTCCCAATTTGAATTCTTCGAAGGATTGTATATGTGTCGTCAATAATGAAGAAAATGATTATAAAGAAAAATGGTTTCATGTTAAACGATCTGCTTGGATGGAACTTGTAAAACGTACTGGGATACTTATTGTAAATTTGATACAGAATGAAAATTATATAGATTATGATAGTCGGAAAGAAAATTGTTTACATATCAATAATCATCATGCTAATTGTCTAACTACATCAGAAATGATTTACACGTCAAATCCAGTGAGTAGAATATACTTTGTATTAAAGATAATAAGATATGAACAAGTTTTACAGGAAATGTTTAGTTCACTACTAGTTACTTGAATTTATAATAACTTAGCTTTGTCAAATCAAATAGGTTTTTTGTTCATCTATTGACAATAGATATTAATACAGTAATATATATATATATATATATATATATATATATATATATATATATATATATATATATATATATATATATATATATTCAGTGTTTGTGATAAATTTGTTCTGATGAACTTGTCTATCTCTTTATCCTATTTTCTGCTTAACACGATTTCGAAGTCACTGTAGGTGGTAGGTGTCTTTTAACTATTACTGTCGTCCATCTGACGAGTCTCATGTAAAACGAAACACGAACCCTAGATTTCACTTTTGACCACCATCCACTTCGGTTTATAACGCTTGTTACTAAACAGCAACATCGAGACAACCCGCACATGATGTACATAAACCATAAAGGGATTGATCAGTTGCAGTCCCAAACATTAATGGGAAGATTCAAACTACTGATACAAAATTAAATTAATACTCTCATTGTCCAAATTGAAATTGTCAGTTAATTACAACAAATAGTTACGTAAGAGTAGGAATAGGAATTTGAATTAGGCATAAATGTGGATGTTATTGTTATCTATGAAGTTAATGATAATAAGCAATTAATAGGATAGTTGCAATGAAAGTTAAATATCAGTATGGGGTTGTGGAGATTGTTAAGTTTTTGATTGAAATCATAAATCGATTAATGCTAGACCACTATTAAAACCTGAAAGCACTGGACGGCCGTTTCATCCTAGTATCGAGCTCCTCAGCAGTTCTCATCCACGATCCCTCACGTTGGATCTGAGGTTAGACTCAAGGTATTAGGCAAGGATGACAAATCAGTTGATAAGATAGTGAATCTTTATCCTTTGGGTGAGATGGTTAAGGCATGTATTATGTATATCTACCCACCGACTGTCTCGATGCAGAGTGATGGCTGGTGTAGAACTAGGTTAGATGAAAGCTAGAATTGGCCGAATCAAAACATGGGATCAGTCTATGAAGACGCTGACTGTTAGACTGAGTCATGTATGTATGGTTGAGGTTCTCGTGATTGTCGTAACCAGTGTTTGGAGATATGGCTCGAAATCGTTCGCATCGGTGCAAGGGTATTCACTTTTCATCTTCCCATAGATCTTGAGTCTCTCAACCAACTTATCTTCATAATCCGCATTACCGGATCGTTTTTTCAATACTTAATCTTTTTTATTTCCATTACTACTATTACTACCACTACTTCTACCGCCTTGGAATATTTCATTTCGCTATGCAAATGGAATATGAGGACTTGAATCGATGTGCGCATGTGCCGGGTTCTACGTTGCGTATGACTGATTGGGAATAATCATCAAACCTTGCTTATTCTATTTATTCTTTCTTATCTTTCAAAATGTATTTACCCTTAACTATGTTGATTGATTCCCCGCCATGTGTTTGTTTTCAGCTTCATTATTCAGGTATGGATGCACTGACGTCGTCAGTACAAGCGGGTTTAGAACTGGCAAACTTAACTTTACACTTGTTGCCACATAGAAATCAATTCCATTCTAAATTCTCTTCATTAGTATCTACTAATGAAACAGTAATTAGTGTTGACGATCAATCTAATGATACATGTGATCCTAATTCCAATGAATCATTCAATAATTCACATTCCCATCGATCATTAGATGATGCTGAAGTTATTAAATCATCATGGGGACGTGTACAAAATTCAAATTGTCAATCTCCAGAATCCTATTTCAATAATAACGCGGAATGTTTAAGTGCGCGTACCAGACGCCTTTTGAAACGAAGGCATTCTGAATCAGATCAAAATCTTACTTGTCTAGAGTGATACATTAATTTATTTTATATATGTGTCTTACTAGTTATTGTAATTATTATTACTGTGTAGAATCCTATCGTATATATATATATATATATATAACGTTCCTAGCTGTATATATTAATAATAACTGTACTACAATGTGCAGTTTACTTATTTATGACCAATGAGACTAGTAATACTATTTTAATAATTGGTTTCGCTTTTACATTTATGAGAGATTTTAGCCAAAAAAATCAAGGATGGGTGCGTTTAAATATGCCTACCTTTGTTTAAAGTGTTCCACATCTACCACGTAATTTTCTTTGCCAAATTATATTTATCTTTTGATATTTTGTTATCTACTACAGAGATCCACTTACTTCACACCTCTTTTTCTTATTACACATCTTATTCAATTTTCTCTTCACTATGTAACTACTCTGTTTGTTTCCCTATATATATAAAATCTATGCGGTGTTTTATTGGTTTATGCATTTCACACGTATACATCTGTATTTATAGATGCAGATATGTGTTTATGTATTACCCTTTTGGTTTTATGTAAAGATTTTCTTTATTGTGTTTTGGTTATTATTGTTGGTTCATTACGTAATGTATGTCAACAAAAAAATGCCAACATTTTAATGAATGAAAATGTCTTTTTCGAATAGTAATATTCTTTCTTTTCATTCAACTGTTATGACTCAGTTGATTCCGATTCGATGTTAAATAATACTAATTGCATTATAAATAATCTTTATTGTAGAATAAATAAATGGTTTATAGAAGAGGTTAGTGTTAAAAACAGGATTGAATAAAAAATTGTGAATTTTTGAATGAATAATCTTTTTAAATACACATCATTGTGGAGTATTATACTAGGATATAATAACTATTCAGTTCTGTTTGTTTTTCTTTCCGAAATCTCCGTTATCAATTGTTATATCCGCGTCGCTAATTACTTTAACTTAAAACAAGGAAACTCTGTAATGAAGACTGGTACAAGTGAAGATTTATTAGCCCATAAACACGAAAATTGGTAGTCGAAAATGCACTCTTTTATATATTGATTCGCATACACATTTGATTATGAATTAGTAAAACGTTAAATATAGAATTATCACAAAATTGCACTTTGCATTTCATGCTAAACATAGTTCACGTTAATCCAATACAAGCATATCATATCTTCAACAAAACATCACTCTGAAAGAATTCAATGTTATAGTGAATAAAAGAGCATATTGAAAATACAATAAATATTACAATGAATAATCATCACATTGCATTAAAAACTGATGTTGATCTTTATTGTTGTGAAGTGTAGAATATATTGGTATATGCGTATATATCACTTATTGTTAATGTTGTTGGTACCTACGATATGGATTTTTTAGTGTTTTATATTTATATACCATTTCCACTATTCGAAAGGCCGCTACATTTAAAGTCCATGTAAATATTGACACAGTGTCGTTAAGAGATCGTTTTTCCTCTATTTTTTTATCATGCTTGTGATTTTTCTTGTTCATTAAGACTGATTAGAGTCAGACAAATATCTTGTACTGAAATATACCTGTAAGAATAGCATGTTCTCTAATCAGTTGATCCATAGTTTTATAGTTACCAGCTCAAGAATCGAAAATCAGGATGCAAAGGACGTCTGTTTCGTCCTAGAATGAGTTTCCTTACCAGTGTTTTTCCATGAACTCGTTTGGGTTGAACTATTAGATTAACCTTCATGGTTTACATTCCTAATTCGATGTCCACTGGTGTGGTGTTCTAATCATGCTTACTTTGATCAAGCCTCACTCGGTAAAGCTGATTAATTTGTCAGAGTATTTTCTTTGCACTAACCACACGTGTGTTCTTTGGATATACATACATACATGAATTACACTCATGCAATGTATGTACATAAGCAGGCACATCGTGCAGCCTGTCACGATTACAAAAGTCTCAAAGAATGAAATTCGAATAATCCAAGATCAGCATGGGTGCGGTGCTTTAACCCGATCTCTCCCGACCACCCAAATTAGCTAGCTAACTAGGATGCCATCATTACCCGGCAGCGCCACACGGGAGCTTTCAGTCGGATTTCGCTGCCATGTGCACTGGTAAGAAATTGTATACCGTCCCATAGCAGCTGTCTAGAGCATCCTCGTTACAATAATATTTTAACTAAGTTAATGTCATGGTGTAAACTGTAAAACTCAACAATCTCCATTCATAGTATTCTTGGAACCAGTGATACTTGCGTACTATTTATTTTGTTTTTCATGTTACTCATAAAATTGAATATTAGTAAAGTTCTATTGCCATGGTTAACGTTTTTTCATCATACCTGAGCATTATTTAGTTAAAGTAAGCGAATGGTCTTGGTAACTATAAAAAGTGTTTTATCTAATGGATAAAATGATTTTTTGTAAAGAAAAATGTAAAGTACCACACTTTTTTTAAACATTCCTAAACCCTATCTATTTTCGTTATCAACCTCAGGAGTACGAACCAGAAACAATGGTCAGTTTGTAGCGGTAGAAAGTAATGCTTTTGCTATTAGTATTCAGTAAAATAAAGATAAACATTGTCCTCTTGTAGTTCAAAGCATGAGATTTTGAAATACTATTTTTGGATAGATAGACTGTAAAAGTGTTTCAAATATAAAATAGTTGAGATTTATAGCCGAAAGGAGGATTTTGTTATGAGTGAATACTTTCAGGCCAAGTATTTCAGTCATTAAAATTTTACTATCTTGGTAGACAACAGTAAACATGCGAGAGAAATGACTATTTGAACTTTCAACGGAATGACTACTGTTGTTGTCACGGATGTAATTGTCAGTGGGATTTGTATTAACATCAGCGGGTATATTTCTACTGGCTTTTTCATGAACTAATTTAGAATTTTGTAGGTGCTTGTCGTTTTCCTTAATAATTTATGGCTTGAGCCTATGTAAATTAGTGTTTTGGTCGCTAACTAGCCTCACTATTATTAATCTAAATAAATGCTTTCAGTATTATTGGAAAGTCAGAGTAGTTTTGATGACTGACGTGATGAAAGTAATTTTTGATTTTGTTGAAGGGCCTTTAAATATTGTTTCTATTTGTAGGTTATATTCGTTGCAGATTGATCTTAGTTTAAGTACCACTAAGAACCAAGGAACAATGAACATTTGTTTTGTCATAATATAAAACTCTTCTACAGTGCTACTTAACAATAATAGTCGGCTCACTTGGACTTATCTCAAGATATTCTTGAATTGTTAGTCCGGAGTCGTACCTGGTGGGATTCCGACATGTCAGAAATAAAACAATTGTCACTACTGGTGTTAGATAATCGTTACTCTGTTAAATATTCTAAGTTAGAACTGTACTACCATTGTTAACTGACCCAGTGATTCTAACCGTTCGCTGGTAGATCTAGGTCCCATTGTTGGTTGAGTCGTAGGTACGCACTTCTGAGGAGTCTTATCTTAGGAAAAAAACAGTTATCCAGTGTGGCCTGTTTTTCATTATTACCGTTAATGAGACCAACCTATGGCAAATAAAATCTACAGTGTTTGATTAACAATTTCTAACGCCTTTTAAATTTGGACAAGACATATCAATACTTCCTGATTACTTACTTTATACCTGATGATATTCGATTGGATGCTCATTCAAAACAAATAAACTTACTTAGATCAGAGTACAATTGTTTTTGAATTATATGTTTAGAAAAAATCAGTAATCGATCATTTCAGTATTCGACGCATAAAAAAAGCAGAAAGCACAAACAAAACAATCCGAAATAAATTAAATGTTTTTAAAAATATAAATTAGAAACGAATATTTTAATTTTTTAAATTAATAATGAGTACATATCGTGTTTTTGTTTTGTTCATTTAACATTATTTTAGTATATCAGTTTCATATGATAGAAATGATTTGGGCATTTATCTATCGTTTGAATTGTAATTTAATTCAATTGATTTGTGCACTAATTCGAGAATTATTCAATATTGTATTGTTAAATTCTTGAACAATTAATTCCGCATCTGAATTGTTTTGTAGATAAACTTTAGCAAAACCATTAGATATTTCATTCAATAAAGAATGTTCGAATTGTACAGATAATATTTTCTGAATAGAAGATAATATTATGTGTGTTAATTACAGTGAAAATTTGTGGTGATAATTTATTCTTATTTATAGTGAAATTTATTTATAGAAATCTATAGAAATATTTAATATTCATCGATTAGAAATTATATTCACAGGAAACCATGAGTGATGTACTGTACATGACAATGTCGACGTACACATCCATCAACATTGATAAATGGTTAAATGAAGATTGCTTTGTCACATAGACAACTATGAACACAAATCCGTTTGACAAATTTCAAGATTATAGATTAAGAATAGTTTTTGAATGGAGGAAGCCTAATACTGAAATCAATCTATACTCATTATGCTCGCCAAGTACAGGTTCATTTAGTCGCATGGCCAGCGTTCAACTCAAAAAGGTATTAAACGTGAATTGAAAGTAACGCGTTATACACTTCATTAGATAATTTTATAAAGGTCACCGTTAGTTAATTGAAGCGTAGGATCTCATGATACCCAAAGTGACAATGAAAGTTTAGTAATTAGATTATCTAGTTAGTATAATGCAATATCACTCAAAACATGCACTCGCGTTACAAATCGTCTACATTATTTTAGTTTATTAGATATTTTGATTATCAGAGTTGTGTTTTAGACATTACACTAAACAAAAATTCACTAATTGTTCAAAATTTGGTTAGTTTTCATGGGTGCAGGTAATTGAATGTGCTTAGTCAAGGACAGAAACTATATAATATCTCACTCTGCACAACTGAGTGTTTGTAGGATTACTTACCACTTAACTAATAATCTATTTTGGCCTTTATACCTCTCACCGACTAGGTAATATACGGTTGCCATTAAGGTAATATATTATGTTCCGCTTTGTTGACAACAGTTTGTGTCCTTTTATAAATATCTGAGTACAGTTTATTAGAA